ATGACGGGTAATCCAGCAAAAAACCAATCAAACAATAGACTTCAACGAAATGACCTTCCTTCTTGCAATTGTAGCAACTCATTCCTCGATCCAGTCACTTACTTCTAGACTGCCTAGTACATCTGCAGATAAAAAAAAACACCTTTCTTTTAAAAGGGATTTGATAGCAGCAGATGTCCGAGAATTCACCTGCTTTTGTTTTTCCTCTTGATAAGAAGTTAAGGCGTTTTGTCCGGGTTTCCGATACTGACACCACTTGATAACTTGTTTGGGTATCAGCAGAAAAAGGTTTCCGAATTTAGTGTAGCCCTTTCCAAAACTTCACGCTTGATGTGCAGCTTCTGTGAGGGTGAGCGTTTTGTTTTCAAGAAGCCCCTGTCGAATAAAAGGTGCGGATAACCCAGAAACAAAAGCAGCTCTAATAGCTTCCTCTTTGTAAACTTGAGCGGTAGCATCTTTGAGTTTACCGTACTTCGCCAGAACGTGCAATGCTTGAAGATATTGATCCAAGGTTTCTCCAACCTGTTGAGTTCTGGTTGCAAGTACATGCCTAGAATATATCTCGCTTTTTTTTCTTGGACAAAAGCTCTCTTCAGAATGTTAATACCCACATTAAAGTCTGTACATTCGCTGAACAGTTCGTATACATCAGACGGCACGTTGTTGCTAAGAATATCCAACTCCTCACCCTCAATATGCTTGAGGAAGTTTTAAAATGTTTGGTACTAATGATTCCATATTTTCTCTCCCCAGGGGGGCTGACTAACCAGATCCAGAATTTTAGGTTTAATCCCCTGTCCATGTTTATATCCAAAGAAAAAAATAGTAGGTTTTCTGCTGAATTGCCCGTAAAGCTGTAATTAGCTAGAAGTATTCAGAGTTTAGGACAGCTCTTTCCACACTTCCCGTATGGTTTCCATCTTCTGTGAGGGTGAGCGTTTTGTTTTCAAGGAATAAAGAAAGTATACTCTCCGGTAGGGATTGATCCTGCATCCCAGTTTGTAGGGGAAACCAAAGTTTGAGCCGGCGTGCTTTACTACTTGGCTACGTAGAGCGCCACAGTTCAACAAGGCTCTATTTTTAAGGAAAGCACATCGTCTTCCCTAAGATATTTTTTAAAGATATTTAAGTACATATCTAGTGTTGAGTTCTGGTTGCAAGCACATGCCTGGTGTATATCCCACTTTTCTGGGGACGAAATCTCTCTTTAGAATGTTAATCGCTTCTTCAAAGTCTGTACATTCGCTGAACAGTTCGTATACATCGGACGGTACGTTGTTTCTAAGAATATCCAACTCCTCACCCTCAATATGCTTGAGGAAGTTTTAAAATATTTGGTACCAATGATTCCATATTTTCTCTCCCCAGGTGGTCTTACTAACTATATCCAGAGTTTTAGGTTTTAGTCCCCTGTACATGTTGATTTCTCTAAGAAAAAAAATAGTAGTGAATAGAATACCGTAAAGCTGTAATTAGTTAGAAGTATTCACTAATATTTCTCTAGTAGTTTAGTCTTCAAGGTCAGAATTATTGGTATCTACCAGATCGCCCGCGTCTCAATGTCAAGATTGGCCTATCACAAGCCGCCTCGATACTTCCCATTTTGGGGATGACTTAGGCACCGAGCAAAAAACTGACTTAGCCCGCTACCGAGGGAGAGGTACTTAGAAGAGAGCCCCCACCCCACCCCGGAGCTTGGGGATACAAACACAAACAAGGTCAGGATTAGTTTGCTATTTATACGGTAGATATTTGAAGATGAATACAACACTATCAAAGTATAAAATAATATTTTTATAGCAAAATGACCTACAATACATTTTATAGTAGCATGACTAGCAATACGTTTTATAGTAGCATGACTAGCAATACATTTTATAGTAGATTTAACAGCAATACATTTTATAGCACAATGACCAACAATACATTTTATCTGTAGTTGAAACCATAAAATTGTGTTCAACATATTTAGATTCCGACATTAAATAACCCACAGATTGATATGCCGCGAAACAAAATCAACCAACATGAAAGAACTCGTTCATGACATTAATCCATATAATATCCTACAATTTCTTAAAACAAATTATACACAAAAATTATAACTTGATGTCCCCACAAACATGTATATGCATAAAAATTGAGTATCATCTACCATGTATTCAACTTTGAAAGCAGAATAACCTATCATACCTTTATTACTTCAACACTCCCAAGAAAATTAAATTTCGACATTAAATGACCCATAAGGATGTTGATATGCCGCTAAACAATCAAATCAAATCAAATCAAATCAAAGCTCCCAAGGAAATTAAATTCCGGTATTCAATGATCCATAAGGAGTTGATATGCCATTAAACAAACAAATCAAGGCAAAGCTCCCAAGAGGATTAAAATTCCAGTATTAAATGACTCATAAGGAGTTGATATGTCGTCGAATAAACAAATCAAATCAAAACTCATAAGAAAAATAAATTTCGGTATTAAATGACCCATAAAGAGTTGATATGCCGTTAAACAATCAAATCAAATCAAAGCTCCCAAGAAAATTAAATTTCGACATTAAATGACCCATAAGGATGTTGATATGCCTTTAAACAAGCAAATCAAATCAAATCAAAGCTCCCAAGGAAATTAAATTCCGGTATTCAATGACCCATAAGGAGTTGATATGCCGTTAAACAATCAAATCAAATCAAAGCTCCCAAGAAAATTAAATTTCGGTATTAAATGACCCATAAGAAGTTGATATGCCGTTAAATACAAATCAAGGCAAAACCCCCAAGAAAATTAAAATTCAACATTAAATGACCCCTAAGGAGTTGATTTCCTGTTAAACAAGCAAAATAAACTTTACGAATTTATGGGTGCTACTATATTAGCGACAAAGTCTCATGATTTTATGGTTGAAATGTCTAGATGTAACCGTAAGTTCTATACTAACAGTTTCTTCTCTCACCCTTCTCACTTGTAGAACTCTCTTCCAGCTTTTTTACCAGTCAAGTCGGCCTTCAAAAAATGACAATCTTTATATTCTATCTTCTTAATTTCTTTTCTCTGTCTTTAATAATGTTTTCCTTTTCTCATATTCTCTCACACTCAGTAACACCCTTGCATCTTAGCGGCTTTATCGCCTTGCTTGTGGTATAATGATAAAAAAAGGTTGTTTTGAAAGTCCTTTCAAAGTGATCATGTAACGACGGGGCCTTCTTTCCAACCTGATATTTAATATAATAAATATTTTTGATTGGGAAGTAGATACCCAGAGGCTGTCAATCTGTATTCATCTAAAGAAGAGATCTTTTCAAGGTCCTGATTGGTAATTGTCATAATGTTTGTGAAAACATCTTTAACTTGAAAATGGCCGATAAGTGAGTCCATGCGTAACACTAAATAATATTGCTAAATGCAGGCTTTCCTACCAAGCAGCCTTGACTGCTTCAGGTGTTTAATAATCCAATTGTTAATGAATTATTCCCTCAAAGGTATTTTGATTGATTAAAGAGATAAAATATTCCATTTTTGAATGAGATGAATTAATTCGCAGTTTCACCCACGCAACAAGAAAGATTCTGAATGTATCAATGACGTTTATCTTGAATTCGATGGAGAAATTTGCCTTAGAGGAATTCCGTCCTGAACGCTGCTTAACGGGATACAAAAATCGATCCTCTTCGGGGACTGATTGATGTGCGGGTAATGTAACGTTTAAAAAAGAGAAATCGGCGAGTTCGAATTCAGACAGAATTCGTTGCGTTCACTTTCGCAACGTTTGGAAAGGTATGAATCGCCTCCAGCTATGGGTTAAAAAACAGAGCAGACCAGTTTTTTTTTTAGCCTTAGGTAACAACCAGTCTAGGAAAAGGAAAACTTTGAATTCTGTCATATAGGAATAAAGTGGGTTTGAACACGGATCGCCAGTACAGTCGACCTCATCTTGAAACAATTAGATCACGTGACGGGTAAAACTATAAATATATATATATATATATATATATATATATATATATATATATATATATATATATATATATATATATATATATATATATATATATATATATATATAGATTTAGCGTCAAGGTGTTACTATTATTGTATCTGTGATTTACAAAGTCTCTCCTACAAACAGACATTACAAAAATTCAAAACTAGCGTAAAGTGGGCTGGGCTAATTTGCCTAGACACACCCATTACTGCTACATCTACGGTATATGTGGTGTCCTAACGGCCCTAAGGGCCTTCGGAACCCGTGCGGGGAAACTGGGGATTGCGCACATGGTACTTACGCAGCATCCCTTCAAGTAATCACTCGGTATTTTCGAAATATTTAAAATATTGGTCAGAGGAATGATGATCGGTGAAGAGTAAAAAGTATGGAATTTATTTTCATGCCTTTCATAGGATGGTGCTTTTCTAAGTGTAGCTTAGATGTGGCACAAGGCCGAAAGTGTGGAGCAACCAGTAAGGATCGAACTCACTATTCATTCGTAAACTTGCTAACCATTACACCACATCGAAGTGTCAGGATGATTTTGTAAACGGAGCTTAAATGTGGTAAAAGGCCGAAAGTGTGGAGCAACCCAGTCAGGATGGAACTCACTATTGCATTCGTAATTGGACAAGCTTGCTAACCATTACGCCACATACGTGTCTGGGCGATTTTGTAAACAGAGCTTAAATGTGAAGATCAAGCGAGATTTATTTATTTTTTTTACTAATATTTTCTACTTTTTTATTTATTTGTTCTCCAATAATTCTATCATTTGTCTACAAGAAAATTAAAATGAAATAAATTTTTATTAATTCAAGTGACTTCATTATCACGTGTTTTATAATCTGTGTACACTTTGCTTAGGTTCTTATTTTTTGAACAACAATTTCCCAGCAACATCTTAATTAGCAACTGATCTTTAGATTCGTAAGGATCATTTTTTCATACATTTTTGCTGTTCAGAGATGACTTCAAGAAAATTATTATTTCACTTAAAATCGCCATACTATACTAATATTATACTAATACTAAAAACGCCATATTTATTGGATACACGTCTTTGTGCAGATATCATATTCGGGTTGATAAGATCACAGAGCCCATACGCATACGTCCGATTTCGAGAGAGAGAGAGAGAGAGAGAGAGAGAGAGAGAGAGAGAGACAGAGATACAGAGATACAGAGATAGAGATACAGAGATAGAGATATAGAGATATTCATATAGAGATATAGATAGAGAGATATAAATATAGATAGAGAGATACAGATATATATAGAGATATAAATAGGTATAGAGATATAGATATATAGATAGATATAGATAGACATAGAGATATAGATATATAGATATAGATAATATAGATAGAGATAGAGACATAGAGATATAGATATAGACAGAGAGATCTAGATAGATATTGAGATATTGATAGAGATATAGATATAGATAGATATAGAGATAATAGATATAGATATAGAGATATAGATAGAGAGATAGAGATATAGATATATAGATATAGATATAGATATAGAGATATTGATATAGAGATATAGATGGAGAGATATAGATAGATATTGAGATATAGATATAGATAGATATAGATAGATATAGATATAGAGATATAAATATAGATAGATAGATGTAGAGATAGATTTTGGAATTCTAGGATCGATGTTATCTGTCCGGTTGCATTTGTTACATTTTTGGAAATGGTTGTTTTTATTTTTAATTTATTTTATTCGATGTTATTTCATTTATGGGCATTTATCCCAATATTCTTAATCTTCTGTTCACTACTTCAGTGTTCTTAAACCATTCCGTGCGACTCTTAGAATTCTTCAGATTTCTCCATACTTTAATGTTACAATTCTTTCTCTTCTTTATTCGATTGCGTTTCATTTAGTGGCTTCGTTGATATCTCCATTTCCTTATAGAAAATGTTTTATTAGTTTTGAAAGTGTTGTTTTATTTACAAAATTTGTTTTTTTTTTGTATTTTTATTTCAGTCCCCTGTTATGGCACCTATTTTGCAGTTGCTCTGCACTTTTCTCTTTTTATAAAAAGTGTCCCAATAACTTGGACCGATTTTAAATGTGAATTAAGTTTAAGCTGTCTAATGACTTTTTTTTTCTTTTTCTTTCAAAGTTAACAACTTAAGTCTTTGGCAATTTCAACCATAGAAAGATTAACAATCAAACACCGTGTTAAAGTTTCAAGAGTGCAATTGGAAGAATTCGTAAATTCAAACAAATTGAGTCGGTGGCTGATGTGAAAACACCATTGCGTGCTCGTTTATGGCGTTCAGCTGAAAACATTGTTGCAGTGCATGAGTCAGACTTTGTTGAATGTTGAGGTCTTGTCTACAAATGCCCGCCTTAAAGATGGAAGACGAAAAGTTGCACTTTCGCCATATTATGCTTTATGAAGGAAGTGTCGAACTGCGAGAAAAAAAAAACATTCCAAAAGTTTATTTCGATCATGCTAATATATATTAATATAATACTAATATATTATTAGGTTGGTGCAAAAATAATGACGTAATAATGTCGTTTTTTGACGTTAAAAAATGCGTCAAAGAACGACATTATTACGTCATTATTTTTGCACCAACCTAATAAATTAATATTAATATCAAAAATACTCTTAATTAGGAAAGATATAAAGATAGTACTCAATACAAAATATACAAAACGGCCAATATATAATATTGGTATCAGATCATAGCAAAACTTTTGAAGTGTTGTTTTATTTATAAAATTTCTTTCTTTTTTTTTATCGTATCTCCTTTTTTTGTATCTTGTTTGGATTCCTTCTTCTGGCTCCTCTTTTACTGTTGCTCTGTCATTTTCTCTTTATATTCTTTATATTATATATATTATAGTTTAATTTTTAATAACATCGATATTAAAAATGATATTAATATTAAAAAGAGAGCATTGATAATATCATGAAATTACTTAACTGTAAAAAACAATTTTTGTTGTTGTTTCTCTCACCTCAACGTTTCTTGGAATTTTTCATTCTCCGAAAGGGACTGTTGTTTAACTTTATTTAAAAAAAATGGAAATAAACTTGTACAAACAACAGTCCCCTTGTAAATAGTAACTTAATATGGCGTCAGTGAATGATTTGTTATAGCACTTATCTTTGTTCAGTAAAAATAAGGCATCAAATCGTTATAGCCCGTGTGATCCAAAAGTTGTTCCATAAATCTGATATTTCTTAAATCGTGGGATATTACATAAAGATTTTACTAGTATTGAAGAGGTCTGTGCAAGTACGGGTCACACTGTTATTAGCGGAAAATTAAGCTTCTCTCTTTACTATTAGATCATTGCAAATGTTTGTGTCTGATTTTCATTGTTAATATAAAATGAAAACAACTTGATATTGGCATTTGTTTTGGCGCTTATTTCTGTTGCGTTCTAGATTGAAACCGTGTATCGTTCAATTGCGAGTCAGATTTTGTTGAATGTTGAGGTCATGTCCGCAAATGACTGTCTTAAAGATGGAGAATGAACATCTTAAATATACTGGTACATAGGGAAAAATATTCCGGGAACTAATTTTTGTACATTAGCATTTATTAGATGACCCTCAGGTGGCAACATTTATCAGCATAGAAAAATATTGACTTTTCATCAATTTAAAATAGGGGTCCTGTTCATCGACACAATGTTAAATCGGCTCCTGATTTATACAGAGTTATCTGTACTTAATTTTTATTTACCAATGTGCCCTGAAAATATGCAGCTTACGGCTACATCATGCTCAAACACTGGTTCCCATATGATCACCGAAGTTAAGCAACGTCTAGCGTGGTCAGTACTTAAATAGATGACCGCTTTGGGGTACCAGATGCTGTAAGATTGGACGTGCAGGTGGTGTAATAGATAACAGTTCGTTTCGTTTCATTTGGACCAATCTATTTATGTAGTATTTAAAAATAGCTCGTAATCCTGACGCATTAAAATTAATTTCATTACTTTCCAATGCATTTTTATAGTAAAATCCCTTTACAATGCATTTTCATAGTAAAATCCCTTTCCAGTGCATTTTCATAGTAAAATCACTTTCCAATGCATTTTTATAGTAAAATCCCTTTCCAATGCATTTTCATAGTAAAATCACTTTTCAATGCATTTTCATAATAAAATCCCTTTCCAATGCATTTTCATAATAAAATCCCTTTCCAATGCATTTTCATAGTAAAATCACTTTCCAATGCATTTTTATAGTAAAATCACTTTCCAATGCATTTTCATAGTAAAATCACTTTCCAATGCATTTTTATAGTAATATCACTTTCCAATGAATTTTCATAGTAAAATCTTTTCCAGGTACCTTAGTTTGGGTAATGTTTCCTGAAATTACATTGGTTTTAAGTATGGATTTTAATAGTCATTGGGTACTACATACAAAATGCATTATTAAATAAGGCTGCAACAATTGACATGTTCCAAAATCAAGCGACAAACCTATTATTTTGAACAGCATTGCCCCAATTGTCGACTTCTTCACATTTCATCACTTGGCAATTCATCTATGCCTTGCTTTAAGTCAGTTCTATTCACTGATTCTGAAGAGTGTATGAATAAACAGTGACATAAATATCATATTCTTTTTTCTATTTATCAAATATTGAATGTTGTCTTTTTTTTCAACTTTCCTAATTCGTTTTATCTGATTAAATATTGACTTATGTGAAAAAAATTCCTAACTTATCGGATCAAATAAAATTAATGAAATTGCGCGAATATTTCAATCTTTATCGTTTTGGCTTGATTCCAAATCGATTATTTCGTTAATCTGATGATTACATTTGCAAAACAAAAAAAAAGAAAAGAAAAAAAAAAGAAAACATTTTTTTTTATTATTGCTGTCAACTGAATATTTTTGATCGCCTTCTAAGGAAAATCAAAAAAAAATAAAAAATAAATGCAATCTTTACACGAAGAGGAATTCCTCATTACAGTTTCGAACTCGGTTCGTCGCAATTTTTGACGTAGTTGAAGGCCAGAGTCACCGTAACCTAATCAAACCCCTCCTTAATCTGAACAGCAGAGATGATTTATATTTGAAAACGAAGGAATGAAGATATTAATTAACCCTTCATTTTCATGCATTGCATTATTTATTTATATGTGTATTTCCTTTGAGATACATCCATTCGCGTCACTCAAAAAGAAATAGAAGAACGCGGTGTGTAACATCATTTTCGATTTGGAAATCAAAGATATGAAATGTAGATGATTCGTTATAAAAACCAACTTCTTATATTAATGACACTTATCAAGAGATTATAAATTATAGGCTTGCGTTGCATTAGAATAAATATACGGCGAACTATGCTTCCAGAAACTAAAGAAGTAAATTGACTCTAGTTTTAACCGGACCTATTTCTACCCTTTTGACCCTAGTGTAAACCGGACCTATTTCTACCCTTTTAACCCTAGTGTAAACCGAATCTATTTCTACCCTTTTAACCCTAGTGTAAACCGGACCTATTTCTACCCTTTTAACTCTAGTGTAAACCGGACCTATTTCTACCCTTTTAACCCTAGTGTAAACCGGACCTATTTCTACCCTTTTAACCCTAGAGTAAACCGGACCTATTTCTACCCCTTTAACCCTAGTGTAAACCGGACCTATTTCTACCCTTTTGACCCTAGTGTAAACCGGACCTATTTCTACCCTTTTAACCCTAGTGTAAACCGGACCTACTTCTACCTTTTTGACCCTAGTGTAAACCGGACCTATTTCTACCCTTTTAACCCTAGTGTAAACCGGACCTATTTATACCCTTTTGACCCTAGTGTAAACCGGACCTATTTCTACCCTTTTAACCCTAGTGTAAACCGGACCTATTTCTACCCTTTTAACCCTAGTGTAAACCGGACCTATTTCTACCCTTTTGACCCTAGTGTAAACCGGACCTATTTCTACCCTTTTGACCCTAGTGTAAACCGGACCTATTTCTACCCTTTTAACCCTAGTGTAAACCGGACCTATTTCTACCCTTCTGAGTGTAAACCCAAACTATCTCAACGTTTTTGACTTATTTCTACCCTTATGACCCTAGTGTAAACCGAAACTATTTCTATTTTCTGGCTATAGTGTAAACCTGACCTATTTCTACCCTTTTGACTAGTGTAAATTAAACCTATTTCTACCTTTTGACTCTAGTGTAAACCGGACCAATTTCTACTTTCTGACTAGTGTAAACCAGACCAATTTGTACCTTACTGATTCCAGTGCAATCCGGATCTATTTCACTGTTTTCGATTCTAGTGTTAGCCGGACTTATTCCTATTTTTTTGATTCTCCATCTAGCCCTATAGTTTGGCGATTGGAAATCACAAACGAAGTTCTTTATCAAAAAGGATCAACCGCCTTGAATACTTACAAACGTACCAACAACAAAATGGACAGTACATGTAACTAAAAGCAAAAGTAATGATAACATCATACAGTTAACTTACTATCCTACCAATAATAGTAAGATTGTAAGGAAATTCCCATAAATATTAAAATAGCTCTAATATTTAGTGGACTTATGAATTCTAATTAAAAAAAAACTCTTTTAACACATTGATTGCCAACTGTAGTTTTTATTATTATACCGACTACGAGTTATCTCGTGCAGACTACGAATTATCTCGTGTCGACTACGAGTTATCTCGTGCAGACTACGAATTATCTCGTGTCGACTACGAGTTATCTCGTGCAGACTACGAGTTATCTCGTGTCGACTACGAGTTATCTCGTGCAGACTAAGAGTTATCTCGTGTCGACTACGAGTTATCTCGTGCAGACTACGAGTTATCTCGTGCTTGGCATTTTCTGATACATTTCCATCTGCCAGTTATGAGTTTATTTGTGATGATACTTTTAATGGGAAAACAATGTTTAGACTTCATTTGAAGCTATAAATCAAACTATCAAATTTCTATTGCCTAGGTTGGCTTTTCTAAAGTTGGTCTTTGAAGTCAGATTTCGTTATTGGCCTCTGGAAGTCAACGCGTTAATAGAATGGTAATGGTAATATTACCGGTTCCTTATAAGAAAACATTTGCCATTCATAGATCGCTTCTCTTAAAACACATTTTTTTAGGAAAACAGGTTTCTCAAATCCAGTATCTTCTTTTATTCTTTCCAGTATGGAAAAGGATTTCCTTCCTAACTTTTTGTTTGTAGTGGTGTGGAATGTTAACATCTTGATTATATGATTATTTTCTCTTTGATATACATGAGTTATACATTTTAGTCATTGTTGCTGTTGGTAGACATCAAGTGATGTAGTTTCTATTATTTGGTACAGTTCTTTGTGATTCTGTCGTGGCAATCCACAATGTTCAAGGAAAGAGGATCTTTGCCAAAACCTTCACGCTTTACTTACTTTACTCAAAGCCTTTTTTTTACTATTGATCATAGAAAGCGGTTGTATACAGCTGACAGTTTAGAAATTTCTGAACGGTTTTGGCGCCTTGTATGGCATTACTATGAAAGTGACTCGTCTATTTATGAACATGACTCGAGTTTTCAGGTTTATGTTTTGGTTTCGTAGCAATTTGCGGTCGTTGGAAAAAACTGTGGAATTAGATTCCTACATTTTTTTTTAAATCTCAAATTTTGTGCAAGTTAAACACATAGAGGTTTCCAACCAAGTATAACAACTGATGCATCCTGATTGGTTGAAAAATATTAATTAGGTGTCGTCAACTACGTCCGAATGTACCGACCCAAATTTTGACCTCTAGTTGACGCCACAAAATGTAAACATGTTCACGATCCACCCACGTGACCAAGAGAACTAATAAAAACGAAACTTCGACGCGACTTGGTCAGTGGGCCCTTAAAATATTCAACTTCCACTTGACTTCATTGGAGATCGACTCAACAACAAAGGAGACAAACCAAATTCTTCAACACGACAACGAAACTTGTCGACCAATTCCAGGCTTAACTTTACTAAAATTAACATAAATCTAGCTTGCAAAAAAGAACGCTCACTTCCACAAAATATTCTATTCTACAACAAGCATCTCCAGTAAGAGAGCGACAACTCTGTAAAAATCAGTGAGTCAAGAACAATACGCTTTTTTCTATTTAATACAAAAAAAAAGAACAAAAAAACTGTTTCATTTTCCTATAACAACAAATATACTTAACTACACCTTCTCATTTTCACACAATCAGTTCAGCAACTTAAATTCTTTCAGAATCACACACCAAAGAACTCTAAAGGGTTTTAACTTTGCCATCATATATTTTGTATTTGTTGTGTTATGGATGTTATGGCTACTACTGCTGGGTTGATTCAAAAACTTGTTGAATTGCCTTCGTCGCTGAAATAAATTGACAAAGAAAAGACGGAAGGATACAGAGACACTAGAGGGACAGTTTAGGACACTGATTTTATTTCCTTCTTTTGGATTCCAACGACCTCTTGTTGGGGAATTTCCTTCCCGAACAGTTGGCACGTGTTCACCAGTCAAAGGTCCAACAGAGAAAGAGATAGATTCTTTTAGTTTATTTTTGGCTCCAGGAAATCTCTCTTTTTGCACATGCGTAAATTGTCTTTCCTGTCAGAGGACTCCTGGGAGATTTTTATGTTTATTTTATTTTGTACATTTTTTTAATTTTGTATTTTTATTTTATCCCCACGGTGTTTTATAAAAAAATATTTATTGTTGAACATTTTCTTCTACTTCTCTTGTCGTTGTTGTCTTTGTTACATTTGATATAGTAAAAATAGAGGGTCAGTTTTATTTGTATTTATAACCAATACAGATTGGCTAACCCACTATAAAACTACCTCTTGCACATTCCATCCTATGTTCAATTATTTCTTCTACACTTAATTT